TTCCATCTTACATACTGAGAATAAAGAATATTGAAATTGTTATTCCGAACAGTCCGTCACGAGTGCTGGTGTTCTTTCATTATTTCTAGCGCTTTGGATGGGATGTGGCTGATTGAATTGTCCATTTTAAAATTGGCGTTATAGTTACTGCATTTTCCCTATCAGCTATCTGCTACGGTGAGTAAATAAATACGTACGTATTATCGGTACATGATCTGTGTCACGGGAGTGTATGCACTCGACTTATGGAACCACATAAAGCCGTAAATCCGCGGTAGATGTGATTGAATATCATGACAATTATGGTGCTGAGTTTATATACAGTAAATAACTTGAGCGCTAAAATTGTAGAATTTGCGGTTTTGGTAACGTTTATATTTGCTTGCATAAAGGATGACACACTTCTTGTATTCTATTTGAATGTAACCATAATAAATTCTAATCTTGGGAGTTGTGCAGCCTACATGTTGTATACTGCAAATATAATTAAAAATGCAGCATCTTTCGTGCAATATAGTATCTACAATTTAATCCTTTCACTTTTCACATTATCAAATTCACACTATCATTATCCTTTCCGAACAAGAAAATATGACGGAGAAAAAAACCGCCGCGGCATACCTGAACGCTCTTTCTTGGACCAAACGAATAAACATGATCATTTTCTTGTTATTGATCCTCCTAAATATACTCATAAATTTCGCCTACGAGGAGCAATTATCAGAGGCCACGAATGTTAATGTAAATATAATTGTTGAAAGCTAAAGCTAATGGAATGTTGAATAAAGCAGCTCACATTAAACTTACAATAGAAAGAAAAAAACTCAACCGAACCAAAACCGACGAACAACTCCATAATCACAAACTCATCCGATCCAGTGCATTTGAACAACACTGTAACATATGAAGAAGTATCGTTGAATGATTATGATAAAACTATCAACAGAAAATATTGCGGCGAAGAACGTTGTCGATTTCTATTTGCCTACTATGTAATGTACTCTTTCATTTACATTTCCTTTTGGAGTAGTAATTTAGAATTTAGCGCATGACATTTTCTTCTCTCGACCATTAAACAGATTAACGAACAAGAAACAAAGGCAAACATGCATTTTTATACATCCGCTCAATTTGCCAAGCGCCTCAATA